AATGCTTATTGTGCTCTTATTTTCTCTGCCAAAAAAGATTTATCCTTGGACTGGAAAAGATAGAACAAAAATGACAAACAGGGAGCTGATAACAAACATCTAGCTGCTCTTCTGTTTGATACATCAGGTCCAGATGAACTACATTCTAAAAAAGGACCTAAGTATTGAAAAAACTGGCACATGTAATTATGAAGTCATTGAAAGTTATATGACAGGGCAAATGTCCTGATTTTCAAAATATACTGCAAATAACAAGCCAGGGAATTTAACTTCAATTTCTAGAAAAATTCCAGAATAGATATTTCAAGAGATAGTCAGTTATAGAGAAGTGATGGCCTAGGGTTGCAAAAAGAAACATTTGGGGACGGGGGGGGGGGAATAGCCAAAATAGTATTTTTTTTTTTGACTAAGTATGTTTATTACAAGGGTTTTGTTTTTCTTTCTTTCTTTTCCAACTGGAAAGGGAATAGGAGGGAAATCAGAGTTTTTGTTAATTGAAAAAAATTAAAACAAAGAGATGACTTATTGCTTGCTTTCTCAGTGGGTGGGGAGAGGCTGAAGGGAAGGAGAGAATTTGGAACTCAAGATTTAAAAAAAATTGAATGTTTAAAATAAAAAGAGATGGTTAGTGAACACTTAGACAAAGAAGCAATGGTAACAAAGAGTCATCACGGCTTCATCAGAAACAGGTCATTTTAATTTAGCCTCATTTTGTTTTTTGACAGTTACTAGACTGCTAGATAAATGGAAAGCTGTATACATGGATAGGAATTTACTTAGTAGATTTTAACAAAACCATTGACAAATTTTTTCTCTCATGCATTGAAGGAATTCTTGATGAGATTATTAGTAGGCAATGAGCAGGCTTCCCATGGTATACAACACATCTTTTCCATCCCACTATTGACTGAAAGTACTATATAAAACAAGTGTCAAACTCACTGCTACAAAAACCCTCCAGTGTGGCCTGGAATCAGATTAAAATGTAATTAGGAAATGTTTAACAAAGTAAATAAAAATACAAAGCAACATGTTAATATGTGGTTTTCCAAATTAACATGTAGCCGCAGAAATCCCTATTTGAATTTAACACCACTGACGAAGAAGTTAAAGACTCAACTTGTTTGATTACTAAAAAAAAAGTATAGATGATTTGATAGTTCTCCATAAACCTGTTCAGTGTTTAACTGTTAAGTTTTTAAAACTGTTAAGTGTTTAAACCATTTCTGTGGCTTTACTCTTCAATGTTCTTTTCCTTCTCCCTTGGTGTTCTCCTTGTTTTATTCCTATAGTCTCCTGCTCTCTCATCTACCAGTCAACTAATCCCTAATCTGATAACTATTTAAAATATACCTGTTCTGAGAAATTTTATAGTTTATTTTTTAAAAAATGTTATTGATGCCTTATATTTTCACAACAGTAATTTTTAGAAATCTCCCTCATAGAAAAGAAAAAAATTAAGGAAAGGCAATAAGAATTCTGCCCAATTGCCTCACGTCCTTATGTGGAGAGGGAGGCATATTTCATTATCTGTCTCCTGGGTGACTAACAGTGTAGCTACTCAGAATTCAGCTTCCTTTTGGTGATTTAAAAATTTTACATTTATACGAATATAATGGAATACTTTTGTGTAATAAGAAATGATGAGCAAGAGGCTTTCAGAAAGACCTGTAAGAACTGATGCAAAATAAAATGAGCAGAACCAGGAGAACATAGTACACAGTAACAGCAGGGTTGTGTGATGATCAGTTATGGATGACAGCTCTTCTCAGCAATCCAACGATCCAAGATAATCCCAAAGGACTCATAATAAAAAATGCTATACACCTCCAGAGAAAGAATGGATGAACTCTGAATACAGATCACTTTATTTTTTTCATGGCTTTTTTTTTTCCTTTTGGTCTGTTTCTTCTTTCACAACTGTGACTAATATGGTCTTACATGATTGCACACATATAACCTATGTCAAACCTATATCAAAGTGCTTACTGTTTTAGGAAGAAGGGAGGGAGAAAAATTAAGAACTCAAAATTTTGTAAAAATGAATGCTAAAAATTGTCTTTACATATAATTGGAAAAAAATACTAATAAATTAACAAAAAAATTTACATTGTTGTCATTGTGTACATGGTTGTCTCTACTTACTTCATTTGTATCATTTAATACAAATCTTCCCTGAATTTCCAATATTTATTGCTTCTCATTTCATTCCATTAAATTATCTACAGTTTGGCTTCCCATCTTATCATTTAAACAAAACCTCTCTCCAAAGTTACGAATGCTCTCTTAACTGCCAAAGCTAATGGCTTTTTCTTCATCTTATCTTTCTTCACCTCTTAGCACTGTCCTTGATGCTCTTCTCTTTGATACTCTCTTTTATTTGTAACAATACTCTCTCTGGTTTTCCTCCTATCTATCCAACTACTCATCCTAGACTTCTTATTCTCTCGTTTCCCTACATCCAATCTGGTGCCAATGTCTGTTGATTTTACTCTTGTGTATGTACATATTCGCTTCTTTCCTCTAACACCGCCACCACCTTGGTGTAGGCCCATCTGTACTACTGCAATAGCCTGCTAGTTGGTCTTACTTCCACAAGTCTTTTTCCACTCTAGTCCATCCTCAACTCAGTGGTCAAAGTGATGTTCTTCAAATGAAGGTTGGTCCACTTCACCCCCTACTCAGTAAACACCAGTGGTTCCTTATTACATCCAGGATCAAATATAAAAGCCTGTATTTTATGTCCAACGCCCTTCAAAATCTGGCCCACTTTCCTTTCCAGTCTTCTTTTATACCTTACACTCCTTTCACTTGGCACACAGACTGAAATCCACACACTGGCCTCCTTGTTGTTCCTAGAACATGACAGGCCATTTTCTGATCCCAGGCATTTTCATGGGCTGTCCCCATGCCTGAATGTTCTCTTTTTATTTTTTCCTCTTGGCTTCCTTCAAGCCCCAGTTAAAATCCCATCTTTTATAAGATGCCTTTACTAATTCCTGTTCATAATTTCCAATTTATCTCATATGTAGCTTGTTTGTGCTGGTGTTTGCATGTTGTCTCCCCCATTAGACTGCAAGTTTCTTGACAGCAGGTGCTGTCTTTTACCTTTCTTTGTATCATCGGCACTCAGCACAGTGCCTGGTATATAGTAGGTGCTTAAAAAATGTTTATTGACTGACTAAATATTAGATTGGGATGAGAAAACCTAAGCTCTTGTCCTGTGTGATCATAGACAAGTCACTTTTTCTCAATCTACTTCAGTTTTCTCATCCACAAAATGAGAAGTTTTACCTTACAATTCAAATGATCTATGAAGTAGAAAAAATACTTACAATTACTACACAAACCAAGCCCAAATGCAAAGGACTGGGCCTAAAACAATGAATGTGCAAATAAAAATTCAACTAGGAGGAAAAAAATGATAATCTGTTATTGTATTTTTTGTTAAGAGACATATCACAATAATGTTGGATCAAATGAGATGTGTGTGACATATACGTATATATGCATATATACACGAGTGTATATATATCCACATATATCCACATATAATACACACATACACACACATATATATGTGTGTGTATGTGTGTATATATACATATATATATATATATATATATATTGCAAAATTTAGAGTCCTACATAAATGTCAGAAGCTAGTACTAATTCTACCAAATGTAGACACTTCCTAGACTGGTAAATAAAGTTGGGAACTGACTTCTTTTGAATTTAACTGAAATATCTAATTGCTATATAAAACTAATAATGCTTCAACAGTTGTGTAAACATAGGCAAGCTGTCTCCTTCCCAAAACTAAATTCAACATAGAGGCATACAAGAAATAAATTCAGCATGTGAAACCCTGTCCCTCATCACCAGACCAATTCAGTGTTACAGGGAAGAGCTATCAAAGCTGACTATCAAACTCAAAGAGGAACAGAAAGAGAAAAAAAAAACAAAAAACCACTTCTAACGCTGCAGCATCAGGCTAAATGCAAAGGCATAAAAATAATTACCTTTCTCAACTCAAAATAAAAGTGGATAATGCAACTCTTAGATTTTGATTCAAGAAGTTTTCCTCAAAAATGCAATCAGAGAAAACTAGGAAGCAGCAGGTAGTTTAAAGAGTAGTATTTTCAGTTTTGGAGATGAAAGAGGAGGCATATTCAGAATTGAAAAGTGAAACTATAATAACAAAAGGCATAAATTTAAAAAAAAATACTGGATTCAAAATTAAAGACCTGCGATTTAAATACTGGCCTGGCTTAGTCGGGACTCTTAAATTTTCTTTCCCTATAAAAAAAAAAAGGGGGCATTGCACTAAATCAAGGTTTCTCAACCTGGGGAGGGGGGCGTTCTATGGAGATACTAAGGACTGTGTGAAATAGGGATGGGGGAAAACTTCTTTATTTTCACTAAACGAAATTTAGCATTTCCTCCAATTATTTAAAAACACTATTCTGAAAAGGAGTCCATCGGCTTCAACAAGGCTGTCAAAGGGTTTGGGTTCATGACACAAAAAAAAGGTTAAGAGAGCCCTTGCACTCGATAAGCCTGGGGTCCCTTCCAAGTCGAACAATCTTCGGGTGCTTGCACGAAGTAAGCTCCCAGAAAGGAATTCTGATTGATCGGCGAGGCTGGGAGGTGGGATGGGGTGGGGATAGAAGGGGAGAGGATGGGTATGGGGCGGGGGAGATGGGATGGGAATGGAGGAAAGAGAGGATGGGGATGGGGGGAGGTGGGCTGGGAAAAGGGGTGGGGATGGAGGAGAAGAGGATGAGGCTGGAAGATGGGATGGGGACAGGGGAAGAGAGGGGATGGGTTGGGTGAAGGGGGTAAGGACGGGGAGATGGGGGACGGAAAAGGGGATGGCTTGCGGGGGAGGGGGACGGCTGGGATCCGCCGGCGCAACAGGCCCCAGAGGCGGCCCAAAGATGCCCGCCGGCTCCCGCTGCGGGGTCCAGCTTCGGCGCCCCAACCCCGGCCTCACTCACAGGAAGTTCTCCATGGAGATCCGCACGATGGAGCCCTCCACGAAGCCAGACAGCATTGCCCGCGAAGGCGGGGGCAGGAAGCTCCTCCTCCGCCCCCATCGGGTCTCTTCGCCGTCCAGAGCCGTCTTCTTGGGGCGACCCATGTCCGAGTCCGCCTTCCTCTTGCCCATAGTCGCCATCGCCGCGGGCTCAACTGCCCCGGCCCCGGCCTCCGCCCCCTCCAGGATGAAGAGGAGGAGGACGAAGAGATGGAGAAGAAGAAAAAGAAGAAGAAGAGGAAGAAGAAGCCTTTCGGTCGCGACTCCCGCGCAGAAAAAGCGCGCGCCGAGCTTCGGGCTCCCCCGTCTGCGCCTGCGCGGCCCCGCGGACCAGGCCTTTTCTGCCCCTCGCCGCCTCCGTTCCCCCTGGCGCCCGGCCCCGCCCTCGGGAGGATAACTTTCAGTTTCAACGGAAATGGATTCTCTCGTCGCCGACGTCACAGTCAGGGGACGAATAAAGGCGGCGGCGACGGAAAGAACCCCGAGAGGAGGGAGAAAGGGTAAAAGGCATGGGGGAGGGGCGACAGTGAGAGTGAGTGAGTGAGTGAGAGAGAGTGAGAGTGTGTGTGTGTGTGAGACAGCCAGAGTGAGAGTGAGAGTGAGAGTGCCTGCTTGTGTGTGTGAGAGTGAGAGTGTGTGTGTGAGTGTGAGAGACACAGTGAGAGTGTGTGTGTGTGAGAGACTGAGAGTGAGTGAGTGTGTGTGAGACAGAGTATGAGTGAGTGTGTGTGTGTGAGAGAGACAGAGAGAGTGTGTGAGAGAGTGAGAGTGTGTGTGTGAGTGTGTGAGACAGTGAGAGAGAGTGAGTGAGAGTGTGTGTGTGAGAGACAGAGTATGAGTGTTTGAATGTGTGTGTGTGAGAGAGACAGAGTATGTGTGAGTGTATGAGAGAGACAGTGAGAGTGAGAGTGCCTGCATGTGTATGTGAGAGACAGAGTGAGTGTGTGTGTGAGACAGTGAGAGTGTGTGTGAGAGAGTGTGTGAGAGA